CTAGGCCCGAAACGTCAGCCGTCCTGCTCCTCTGATGCTGCTTGGCCTGCTGTGTTCATCCAGCTCTCCACCTTGTTATCTCTTATATTTGATTCAATTTATTTTCAAACTTCTTATGAGCACTGAATTGGTTGATGTAAGTGCTGAGGATTTGCTCGATAGTGAAATGTCACCGCTTGATTTGATTGATAATTCATTCTTCCGTAATTCATAACTTGCAGTTAGTTCATTGCCATGTGACTTTTTGTTGCCAGCTTTCTGCAAAACGAGAGACCAGTGGAGAGAAGTCAAGGCAACTGCGTGATGCACAGCAGGAAGCCAGAGATAAAATGGAGGTAATGGTTTTCTCCTCATAAATGAATTGCTGGGTTTTAATTTCAATGCATGCTCCAAAATTAATTGTGAGTGAATAGATTTAGATTAAAATCAATGCTGTGTGCAGATGAAACATTTCCTTTATTTTGGGCTGGTCTGAATGCAAAATACATTAAACAATAATATAACTTCATTACAGTGCTTTTTCTGAATTTTTATAGTTTGTATAATTGTGCTTATTTTTAACAGATTTTGTTTCTTGTTTTCATGTATTTGTATTTAGATGCAGCAATTAATGTAGGATATCTTGAGAATGAGAAGGCTATCAAACAGAAGGTTGTGGTCCTAGCTGAGGCTCCATTTTTAATTAGTTTAAAAGATATACTTCTGCAGTAAATTATAACATGTTTTTGAGTTCTCCATTTCATCACTTTTTGTAATTGGATGATCCATCAAGTGTGTTAAATAGTTCATCTTGCTAGTTGTGTTTGGAAACTAATTCAAATATGTATTCACTGTTTTCAAAATCAAGGATATAGAACGGCTGGCACGTGAACTGAAGGCAAAAATATTGTCAATGAAGGAAGAGAAAGAGCAACTAACTGCTGAACGACAAGAGCAGATCAAACAGAGGACTAAACTTGAGTTAAAAGCAAAGGATCTACAGGATGAAATGGCTGGAAATAGTGAACAAAGAGTAAGGAAATGGAAATTGTCGGATGGGAGGTTTTGAATGAGGGTGGGTGGGGGGGGGTGGTGGTGGGGGAGAAAAAAAAATCCTCTACAATGGGGCAGATGAACAGCGGCTTGTGGCCTGGACCTAACCCTGAAACCTAAACTTATCCTTCTCACAAAAATTCAATGCCTCTGTTCTGCTGTTTTAGCTGCTCCATCTTAGATGGGAATGTTGAGCAGAAAGTTGTTTCCTTATTGGTATAAAAGGGTTGAATAGTCTCAAAAGCGATGCAGGAACAGATCACACCAGTCAAATATTTTCTAATTTCCTAGGTGTGTATTTATAAATTGAAAGACATAAAGCAAAAGGGACTGCCACCCACCGGTACTTAATTTATTAGAATCTATTATGTCTTTATTTTTTCCCCCAATGTTTTTTATACCAGCTGATTTCCCATAGCATTTGCTTTTTCTGCCCTTTTTATGTAATGAATTGTACAAAACAGTTTCTCTACGTTAATCATTACGTTTTAAAAGTAATTCAGTGTATGAAACACTTTGATATGGCGAGATGCTGTATAAATGCAAGTATTGTAGTAATTAAATATCAGTAGCTGAAAAGGTTCAGTTGAATGTTCTGACGCATCAAATTGCCATTTTAAAAAAATTGTTTTCTTTCAGTGTCTTGTTCAATTATGTAGTGACATCATGCTGAACAAGCTGCAGTTTATTTAGAATTGTATTACGTTATAATCTATGTGTGTGTCGATCATCTAACTAAGACCAGAAGTGTTTGTTTATTTATCTGCTTATCATGAGACTGGCATCTGCAGGCAAAATTTGAACAACCAGATAAAGTATGTTCACTATTGGTAATATACTGTTAGCAGCTGATTCATTCATGACTTTATAATAGATTTAAAATATTGATATATAGTAAATTTAAATTATCATTATTTTTAACAAATGGAATTAACTTTACTGCTAAACGAATAGTGTATGTGAAAAGACTTCCAGTAAGGTTCACAATGATGTACTTGTTTATTGAAAAGCAGCATTTTAGATTCCCTTAAACTGAAGGGCATTAAAAATACAAACACCAAGTTAAAAGGAAATAAAGACTCTAGTTTTTTTTATTCAACACACTAACCTTGTAGAGTAAAATAATGTTTTGCATGTTTCATTTGAGGATTTTGTAAAAGTTTCTACTTGTCTCGGATAAATGGGGGTCTCTTTCCTTAGTAGGGCACACTAGTGACATCACTATCAGAAGTGTCCCAGAGCATCTTCACGTATCTATTGGAAACGGACTTGCCCGAGTGCTGTACCCAGTCCTAAGAAACCATGTGCATAGATCACTGAAAGTTGCCACCCAGGTTGATAGCGTTGTTAAGAAGGCGTACAGTATGTTAGGTTTTATTGGTAGAGGGATTGAGTTTCGGAGCCATGAGGTCATGCTGCAGCTGTACAAAACTCTGGTGCGGCCGCACTTGGAGTATTGCATACAGTTCTGGTCACCGCATTATAGGAAGGATGTGGAAGCATTGGAAAGGGTGCAGAGGAGATTTACCAGGATGTTGCCTGGTATGGAGGGAAGGTCTTATGAGGAAAGGCTGAGGGTTTTGAGGCTGTTTTCGTTAGAGAGAAGAAGGTTAAGAGGTGACTTGATAGAGACAAACAAGATGATCAGAGGATTAGATAGGGTGGACAGTGGGAGCCTTTTTCCTCGGATGGTGATGGCTAGCACGAGGGGACATAGCTTTAAATTGAGGGGTGATAGATATAGGACAGATGTCAGAGGTAGGTTCTTTACTCAGAGAGTAGTAAGGGCGTGGAATGCCCTGCCTGCAAAAATAGTAGACTCGTCCACTTTAAGGGCATTTAAATGGTCATTGGATAAACATATGGATGATAATGGAATAGTTTAGGTTAGATGGGCTTCAGATAGGTTTCACAGTTCGGCGCAACATCGAGGGCCGAAGGGCCTGTACTGCGCTGGTATGTTCTATGTTCTATGTTCTATGAATTTAGCTAGATTTTTCACATTCCCAACTGGTTTTGTTTACCTAAGTCTGGAAATAATACTTCTTCCATATTATAAAGATTATTTGTGATACCACTTGCTTTAAAACTACTTTTGATTTGGTCTAGAAGGAATATCAATTGAAAGAGTTAACCAAAAACTCATGTTTATACTTGATTTTCTTTTCATGTTTTCCTCTGTAGAAACGCCTTCTGAAGGAAAGGCAGAAGCTGTTAGAAAAGATAGAAGAGAAGCAAAAAGAACTTGCAGAAACAGAACCAAAGTTCAGTGCTGTAAAAGAAAAAGAAGAAAATGGGATTGCAAGGTCAGTAACTATTGCTTTGGAGCAACTACAAGATAAAATGAAGCAGCGGGTGTTTGAATGAGGAAACTCTTTAATGTATGCGTCTTTGGTGCCTTTTTAAAACTTTTTTCTTGTTCAAGTGTTGAATCACGGTGGAGTATAGTTCTTTGGGTGCTATCAGTCCAGTGCCACCCCTGCATGTTGCAATTTTTGAAGTGCAAGCTGAAACAGTGGGTGTAGACAGTTTACTTGACTATGAAGGAAATCGCAGCTTTATCTATTTGTATTTATGTGCAGTGTAATTGTGCACTTTCGGCAGGGGTAACTACATAACAAGCAGAATTGGAAACCTTCGCTGTTTTTAGATGTTTATGACAGCTATTGCCATGTTTGTAGTAGCAAGCTCCTTCCATTACTAGATGGTTACATTGTTTTATGGCCTATTTGTTCATGGTGTAAAAATAGAATTTGTTGATATCCAAGATTGTACAAATAATCCATATGATTTAATTTGTTTTAAGATTCTTCACAAGTTCTACTTGTATGGACAACTATTTATTGCAGCAATTCTACCCCTCAGCTGACCTAAAAGGCATGCAGTAACTTCCACAACAAATGCCCAAACCCAAGAATCCCTTGAATTTACATGCCAGGAGTGAAGGGGAATCAGAACAGAAATCTTTTCGAAAGCTTTTTTTGTTTTTCCTATATGTTTGTTTACCTTTTTCTGTAATCCCAATTCGCAGTTCTCTTTTTAATGATTTCAAGGCTGTCTGCTTGTTCTTTATTTCTCACCATTGACTCATTTTGTCTCCCTACTATGTCTGTGTTATACTGATGTGGAATGTTTTCTGAATTTTTTGTTTGCTCCAAGTGAAGGTGTGGCTAGATCATTGTACCGTGGGTTTCAGACTGAACTGCTAGTTTCTTCTGAAGAATTTATGTTGTATTAAAACTTGCTTTCATGACAAACTGATCTATGGCCTGCAGAAGACCAGTTCAGTTTTTTTTTTATTAATTCATTCTGGGACTGTGGGAGGCATCCCTATTGGAGGGAGTGGTGAGCTGTCTTAGACGACTACAATTCATGTAACTGAGGCACACCAGAGTTGGGTAGGAAATTTCAGAATTTTGAACCAGCTGTGGTAAAGGAATGATGATATATTCCTAAGCCAGAATGCTGTGTGGCTTGTTTCAACAGTAACCTGTTTCTAAAAGCTGACCACGCCATGGTTGTCTAGCTAGTCGTGAAATAATATGGGTAGCTCTCCCATGAGAGAACAAACTGAACTGATTGTTTGCTTTTTGCCATAACTATTGAGGTGAAAGCTGGCCAGATGGAAATATTAAAGAGCATAATTTCATATTTTCAGCTATCAATCTGCACAGCTATGAGACTGGAACCATATCTACTTACAATCATTTACAGAACAGAAGATGACAATTTTGCACATCACACCTCCAATGATTCTCATGCTGAGCAACCCAGTGCAATTGAGATGTATAAAATTATGAGGGGTATAGGCAGGGTAGACATGAAAAGAAACTTTTTCCCCTAGTTGGAGGGATCAATGGCTGGGGTTGTAGATTTAAGGTAAAGGGAAGGAGGTTTAGAGGGGATGTGAGGTAAAAGAGTTTTCACCCAGAGGGTGGTGGGAATCTGGAACTCACTGCCTTATAGAGGTAATAGAAACAGAAACAGAAACCCTCATAACTTCTAAGAAGTGCACTTTAGGTGTACACTTGCGATGCCAACACATACAAACCTATGGGCCAAGTGCTGGAAAATTGGATTACAGTAGTTACATGTTTGGTTTTGACCGTGCAGACTCAAAAGGCTTTTTCTGTGTTGTAGACCTCTACAACTCTATGATTCTTTTGCCCAATACCTTCTTTGTCAACTTGTCCTTGTACCATCAGCTAATGGAAGTTGGTTTTTCTTTATTGCTTTATTCAGATCTGTTATAATGTTATATACCTCTATCAAATCCTGTTTACTCGAAGAAGAACAATGCCCCACCTCCAATGTAATCTGGTAACTAAAATGACCCATTTCTGGAACCATTCTGGTAAATTTTATCTGCACCTTCCAGGACCCCCATACCCTTCCTGAAATGTGATGATTAAATTTGATGTAATAGTGCAATTCGGACCTAACATGACCTTAACAAAAGTTGGCATAACACTACAGCTTTTGTACACATTACCTCTTCATGAGTCCCAAGATTTCCATTTGCTTTAGAAATTTTGAAAGAGTGGTTAACAAAGATGGACAGACACCCCCCCTCTGTCCCTGAACATTCTTGAGAACTGTACTATTTATCTGTACACCTGTTCCTGTCCCTTTTGCCAAAATTCATCGCTGCATACTGTTTAATTTTCTGTTGCTTGTGTATCACTAGCCCCTCTGTCATATGGCAGTTCATTTGTATCTTATTTACAGTTGCTAATGCTCCAACTTGGACGTTTTAGTCAACATTCCAACATTCAATCAATTTTATGGGTCTTAGTGCTGATCCATAATACACAGTCTCCCATTCCCCAGCCTGAAAAATAACTAACCGTTTACCACAATTCGGTGTATACTCTTGTTATCAACAACTTTTTAAAATTCAAACAGACACTGGTCCACCTGCATGAGTCACAGTTCTCTCAAGCACTTTTTTTATGTGATGCTTTGTCAAATGTTTTCTTCAAAACTACATGGTCAGCGTTCTTCGTCAGGTTTCTCTGCTACTTCAAAACATTCAATTAAATTAATCAACACGATTTACCTTTTTCAAGTTTGTGTTGGCTGTTCTAATTAACTCCAATCTCTTTCAGTGCCTGTTGTTTTCCCTGTATATTCTTTTAAAAATTTATAAGTAGCTTATCAGCGTTAGATATATAGTTACGAGAGCCATCCTTGCCCCCTTCTTTGAATGATAGTGTTACATTTACTATTCTAATCCTTTACCATCTTTCCTGTATCTAAGAAAGATTGGAAATAAAAACTAGTCATTTCAGCATCTCTCCCTTCATTTCTTTAGCACACTGGAATACATACTATCCAGATTAACCACTCTTAAGTAGCATTTCTGGCACCTGCCTTTCAATTTTCATCCAGTTCTTGACCTCTGCCATCTTCCCCATATCAATATTTTGTCAGCTTTCTTTTCCTTCATAAACCCTCTGGTACAAAATACACATTAGGCATTCTAGCCCTGATACGTGCCTCTAAGCATTTTACTTGTCCCTAATAGGACCCATTCTACTTTTTGCTACCTGCTTAACTGCTAGTGGAATATCTTTTTGGGCTCGTTTTTATTTTTCACTTTCTATTCTGTCTATGCAAGTCTTATTTTCATGCTTACTGTGCTGTTGTGTTTGACTTTGTTCTCCCTCCCTAGAAGGATTCACCTGATGTGTATCATACATCCTTTTTTTTTGTTTTATCATAATCTCCCATCTTCATTATTATTCAAGGAGCTCTGGCTTTGATTGTCCAAACCTTTTGCATTTATTTGAATGCACCTTCTCTGCACCTGGAAGCATCTCCTTTAGGATCACCCATTGTTATTTGCAGTTTTTCATGTCTGTCTTTGGTTCCATCTTGCCCTATGCTAATTGATTATTCCTTGATCTTTTGGTCACTCGCATCCAGATATTTTCAACAGATATTTGGCAAATTTATTTAGTTAAGTTTATATTTCTATTTTTACTACAGTTAGAAGAACAGTTCTGTTCAGTTAGAAGAGAAATGCAGCTATGTTGCTATCATTAAGTTAAGGAGATAACTAAAATAAGTTTAAACATTATTCTGTTGTGCATTTTTCTTCTGTCGCAAGTTGTTCCTTTACAAAGCCATAGTTGAAGGAATGCAGAGTTATTGGAAGAGGTGGAGATGACATAAATTGGAAGTGAAGAGGCCATGAAGGGATATGAGGACTGGGATCAGGAGTGGAAATGCTAACATGATGACAGTGGAGGATGGGTTACCAGTGTGAGTCAGCAACACAGAGCTGTGGGGTGAAAAACACTTAAATCTAAGTTCGGATGTTGGTGGCAGAATTTTCTTTAAAATGCAACTGTTAGAATTCTGGGTAAAAGGTTGTTCAAATAAGCCCCCTTTGTCTTGGTGTCCAGTTTGGTCTCGTAATGTCTCTGTAAAATGCAATAGTAAGTCAATCTCTATAAAAGATGCTGTGCATAAATGCCAATTCCTTTTTGAGAATGGCATTATTAGGCATCCCATTTAGTTACTTCATTGTGAACTCCTTTGGACAAGCTGCTGTTTTTTCAATCCTTTGGCATGCTAAATTATCAAGGTCAGATCGATTAAACTTTAATTTTATGGTTAAAAATGTAATTAACTTCTGGTATAAAGAATATGGTAGTGATGTGGGAACTGATGCTTAAAAATGATTCTCCAACTTTGTAATTATCACAAAAGGTGAATGGAAGGAAGTAGAGATAGTAGGAACTGCAGATGCTGGAGAATGCGAGACAACAAGGTGCAGGGCTGGATGAACACAGCAGGCCAAGCAGCATCATAGGAGCAGAGAGGCTGACGTTTCGGGCCTAGACCCTTCATCAGAAAAGGGGGAGGGGAAGGGGGTTTTGAAATAAATAGGGAGAGAGTGGGAGGCGGATAGAAGAGGGATAGAGGAGAGGATAGGTGGAGAGGAAACAAACAGGTCGAAGAGGCGGGGATGGAGCCAGGAAAGGTGAGTGTAGGTAGGGAGTTAGGAAGGGGATAGGTCAGTCCAGGGAGGACGGACAGGTCAAGGGGGTGGGATGAGGTTGGTCGGTAGGAGATGGAGGTGCGGCTTGGGGTGGGAGGAGGGGATAGGTGGGAGGAAGAACAGGTTAGGGAGGCAGGGACGAGTTGGACTGGTTTTGGGATGCGGTGGGGGGAGGGGAGATTTTGAAACTTGTGAAATCCACATTGATACCATTGGGCTGCAGGGTTCCCAAGCG